ATATATATATATATATATATATATATATATATATATATATATATATATATATATATATATATATATATATATATATATATATATATATATATATATATATATATATATATATATATATATATATATATATATATATATATATATATATATATATATATATATATATATATATATATATATATATATATATATATATATATATATATATATATATATATATATATATATATATATATATATATATATATATAATTGATTCAAATACAAGAAAAATAAATAATAATATTTGATCGTACGTGATCAGAAGAGATTGTTGACCGCCACGCATCGCCGATCTGAAAGCTGCTCACCGGAGGTAGGGAGGAGGAGGGGGGTGTACCTGCAAGACACTCTGATGCTTAAGTGAATAAGGGACCAGAGTAGGAGCAATTACAGAAATCAGGTGTAGAGAATTGAATACCTAACCCTCTAGTGAAAGAGGGTATTTATAGTGAGACCCCAGCGCAGGGACAACGGTCACTTGCGTTGGGCTGGATGGTCAGGCCCAACCTAAGTGACTGCTAGGGCTTACGTGGCGTAGTGAAGATCAGCATGTGGTATTCGCCCTAGTTCAACTGTCTCGTGATCTCCGGAAGGTGGGCTGACCAGCTCTTTCGGAGGTGGGTAGTTGTCTGATGACGTGTCCCCGCGGGGGGAGCACGTGGAGAACGTGTGGAAGACATGTTGTTATGCCCGACAGGGGAGAGTTCCTGCCCGGTGTGTCTAGACTTGTGCCTGACACTGGGGGATTTGGGCCTTCCCTAAATAGCATTGGGTTGGGCCTGCCCGACGAATTGGCAGGTCTGGGCCCACTCCAGAACAGAAGCCCCCCAAGTCGTAGCTCCAAGGTAAATGAACAATGACTTGACGATAACTGTGTCGGGGACGGAGAAGGACGAAGAAGAAACTTGCCGGACTTCCGTGTCGAGGACGCTGGAGCGCGAGGATCTTGGATTTGTCGGGCTATCAGGTCGAGGAGGGGGAAGATCGTCGAGACGTTAGTGGTGGCCACGTGTCTAGCAATCATTGTGCCACTTAGGGTGGCTACCCTAGGGCACTCGAGTGCCTAGGGGCGCTTCGAGTCTCGTGCTACATTTATAAATAGACAGGTGCTTGCCTTTTTACTGGATCTCCGGTACACGCAGTTGCTTATTATTGCCACCGTACCGTCCGTCTCGCATTCTGCCGTCTCTACTATCCCAATAAGTTTTCTACTTCTTTTATTCCGTCTTTTTTAATTTCGGTGCCCTTTTTCGGGGACATGATGAATGTCCCGAGGAGAGCGAGGGTTCTCCGACGAATAAGGCGGTATCCCCTTCACCTGGGATGAAGGCCCCGAGGTTACTTAGGGCTTCAGGATGAATGTCCCGGGGATAGATGACATGATATGAATGGATACCCCGGGGACGTAGGATAGGGTTAGATGAGTGCCCTAGGGAGGAACGCTTGGGTAGAGATGGACGACGCGGGGACACGAGCCGCCACTGAGCTGTGGTCGTCGTCCCCATCGCCTTTTCACTTGATTTGTGGTGGAAGGGCGAATTTGATCTTGAAACGTCGAATTCACCATTTCCTTCTACTTTTCAGGTGATCATGACCTCGTGGGCAACGGGAATCATGGAAGTCGACGTGGAGGCAGAGTCCCTCGTTGTCGAGGGGCAGGCTCGTTCTATCAAGGATTGAGCCGCAGAGGAACCTTTAAACACACCGTCCTGCTTTGTCGATAACGACATCGGCGCTTTCGCGACTATCGAGGACCGCTGCGACGATTCTTCTGTGAGCTGGCAAGCGTACCGGCCATGAGACCATCATCGGATATATTCGAGCTACGGGAAGATGAAGTTTCCCATGTATAAGTTTTGCTTCCGAGAGACGGGTCTTCGGCTGCCCTTCACCGATTTCCAATTGGGCGTCTTCGACTGGCTGAAGTTGGCCCCAATTGGGTTTCCCATATATTATTGATTGTTCTTTACATTTCGTCTTTTATATTTATTACTATTTAAATTTAAATTTATTATTATTCTTAAATTTTTTTCTTTTTTCAACTTTCTATTTTTATTACAATCGATAAACAAATATGCGTCCAAAACCATATCCTACCTAAAAACTACCATGAAAGAAGCAATGTGGTCACACGGTTAGAGCCACAATCTTTTTTTCTTCTTCCATGTTTTATATATGCTGTTCCCTTTAGAAAATGATTTTATTATTACAGTAAAACTTTTCATATTTAATATAAAATTACATAATTGAAAGAAGATTATAATTATGTGGTCAAATAAAGTATTACGAGTCTTAATTTATTTTTCTTTCAAATTGTATAATTAAACATATTTAACAACATTAAGATTAGGAATTTACTTATTCCTTAATCTACTCCAAAAAATTGAAAGAGCAAATTTACTATTGATTAAAAATGTAAAATTGAAATGTCAAATTGTTTAAAAATGATCTTACATTGTAGACTCAAATAATTTTATATACAAAAATAATTTACTATTGATTCAAATCATTTTAAAAATAATGTCAAAACAAAAATAACATTAATATACAAGAAAAAATATATTGTTGATTCAAATATTTTTACATAAGCAAAATATACTATTGCTATAAACGGGAACAACTTTACTACTAATTTAAATAATAACAAAAATGTATCGATCATATTTTTCAAATATATGAAAAAGATTAAGGGAACTTATTAAAAAAGATTGAGTAGATATTTAAAAATTATATTCTCTCTTATAAAATAATGTATTATTTATAAAAAAAAATTAAACGATAATTTATTTAATACAAGTTTCAATAGTTTTTATTTTTAATCATATTATTCTTAATATTTTTATTTAACTTTCATCTTCTACATTTATTACTATTTCAATAGTTTTTATGATAATTTGCAAACAAATGCGCATGTAAAACCATATCTCACTCATAAATGTACCCCATGCGTAGACACGAATTTGTATAAAAATTGATAGTTTTTAATTATAGTATCATATTAAAAAATAAATATTATAAAATTATAAAATAAAAATAGGTAAAGTAATAAATTAAAATAGTTATAACAAAAATATGAAGTTACGGATCAAAATATTAAATAATAAAGAAAACATGTTTATTGTTGATTCAAATATTTTTGTAAATTATTCTAGAACAAAAATTATATATATATATATATATATATATATATATATATATATATATATATATATATATATATATATATATATATATATATATATATATATATATATATATATACACACTATTAATTCAAATATTTTTATATATATAAAAAAATTATAGACACCGATTTATTATCTCTTTTAAAAATAATAAGTTTTTTAATAAACAATTTATTTTATTTTATTTTTATTATATTTTAAAAAACAAATACACATGAAAGTTATATGTCAGTCTAAAAATATTTATTATTTGATCCTATTGTTTTTATAAACAAGGTTATTATTATAAATGATAACAACTTTACTATTGATTCAAATAATTTTATAAATTTTATCAAAGGAAAAATAATATTTATATAAGAGAAAAAATATAATGTTGATTCAGATATTTTTATATACGGGAACAACTTTATTATTGATTCAAATATTTTATAAATAATGTCAAAAAAAATATTTATATTCGGAAAAACAATTATTTATTCAAAAATATTTATATACAAAAAAAATATTATTGTTATAAACGGAAACAACTTTATGTTGATCCAAATATTAAATAATAGAAATTTGTCGACCATTTTTTTATAAATATGTAAAAAAGATTAAGGAAACTTAATAAATAAGATTGAGTAAATATTTTAAAATTGTATTATCTCTTATAAAATAATTGATTTATTAGTAAAATACAAAAACAACTTATTTGTCTAATATAAGTTTAAATAGTTTTTATTTTTAATCATATTATTTATGATATTGTTGTTTATATTTTAATATTTCAACTTAAATTTATTATTATTCTTAAAAAAAAATTTATTTTTTTACTTTTATTTCGGTTTTCAAATAAATACATGTTCAAAATCATATTTCATCCTACACTAATTTTATGAGAGAGAGGTTATAAATTTGGTTATGAATAAACCTAACCGTAGCTATTTATGGCATTATGTTCACTTTTTAGCTATTAAATTTGCTTTAGAATTATTTGTATTTCGGTTATTTTAATTACTAATATATTATTGTTATTAAAAGAAATCTTTAAATTAGTGGAATAAAAGAAAAATAAAATAAAATAAAACCTTTTGCATGGCTAAAAGGATTTTCACATTTGGTAAAGTAAAAGTAACAAATTTTGCGTCTAATTAGATTTAATTTGAATATATATACTAAATTTCCGGCAACAAATTTTACTATAATTTTTGTATAAGATAGAATATATTCAAAACTTTGCTTTACTGGATCTTAGCGTAGAGATAAGATTACAACTGCAAAATCGAAATTATAGGTTACATATAGAAATCGGAATACGAAGTTTCCTAGAACCTCAACTATTATTATTCATTTTTTATTTTATTTCTCTCACTTTCTTACCTTTGAATCTTTCTTTAATTTGTCGCTATTCAATTCAATTACGACCTTTTGTTCTATTCAGATTCAACATTTTTTCCATTTTGGCATTCATCACGGTAATGCGCACTTCTGATTCTATTTTGCATTTTTTTTTTAAATTGTTTAATTTTGTTATATTTTTCTTGATATTTATGTGTTGAGAAGATTTGATCAATTGCAATTTTGATTCAGGGGTTTGATTCATATTCTGCAAAGTTGGGTTTTTTTGGAGATTATAATTGATTTAAGATTGCATGGTATGGTAATGCATGTGAGATTGGGGATTTGAAAATTGAAGTTGGGGTTTTTGGATCAAGTTGATTGTTTGATAGAAATTTTGTGTGTTAGTTAGAAGACTGATTTTGGGGTAGTTACTAGTTAGAGAAGGTTATGGAACTAGCTAGGCGTGGAGTAATGGAGAATGGGGGAGATGAGGAGATGGATGTTGAAACTCCTGTATCGGAGCAACGTTTCTATCCTTCGCATCCGGGTTTGGTGAAGAAGAGAGCTTATATATTTGATGGTTTGGGGAATTTTTATAACAAGGAATGGGATCTGGCGGACCTTTATCAGAAAGAAGAAAAGGAATCGGATGTGGAGGAAGGACGGGGGAATGAGTTTTCTTGGTATCATGTGGAACTTCCGAAAGGGAATCAGAAGTTGGCGCAATCTGCACAGGATTTGATTGGTGTTCTATGTCCGCCTTTGAAGCTACAGGATATTCTTTCGCTTATTAGCAATGGGCCGTTTTGTGCACATGTGGACGGTGCACTTGTGTTTCGGGTTAATTCGCCTGGTCCTCCTTCTAGTGATTTTACATTTAGACTTGCTGCTAGAGTTACTGAGAATTCGGTTATTACAGTGTCGTTAGGGCGTGTTCCTCGGCTAGGTTTCTCGCGTATGGGGGAGTCTTTACTTTCGGAAGTTCCTAGTGTTGAAAGCTCCCCTCAGTTTAATGGTCAGCGGAAGGAAGGAAGTGGGACTGTGATTAAGGAGCATGTTCTTGAATTCTTGTTGACTATGAATCATTCTGAGGAAGCTGACAATCCTGTTCCTAGATCTGTCTCAAATCTCGTTGTGCACATAGTTGATACACATGTCGATCAGCTTCAAGATCTTGTGACAAAGCTTGAGATGGAGTTGGACTCTGTGGAGCTTGATCTTGATAAAGGTAATCATGCACTCATATTCTCTAATGATGACATTCAAAACCACAATTTTATATCCCTGTACCATTCCTAGTTAAATGGCTGCTAGAATCTATAATCATTTTCAACTTTTAGTTCTCTTCATGCTTCAAATCTTACAAATTTAAGCTGCTCTTGTATTGGAAGTTTACCTCAGTTTCTGTTAAGCTGACTTTAAAGGAATTGTGACATGAATTTAGAGGCACATTGATGTCTTTTTATGGTAGGAGTGTTGAAAATTTTGACAGAAGCTTTTACCAAAATATAGCCTTGAACTTGCATCCTTGTGTCTTCTTTTTTTCCTTGAAGTTTTTGGGGTCCTCGGATGCATGCAGGGTGGTGGTAACACATCTGTGCCTTTAACTGCCTTTACCACTAATATGCAACGGGGAGGGACTTATAGTCACAGAGCGTCACATTTGATAGAAAAGAGTCTGTTTGGGCGGTGAATATCCAATTGTTTATCGTTTACATCATTCTTCCCCTGGCTGCAAGCCAAAATTAGGGAGGGAAGAATCCTAGTATGGCTAGTTTATAAAATAATTAGAATGTCCACATGGCATTTGATGTAGTAGTTTAGCCTAAAACTTCAAAGTTTTCTTGCAAGCTTTCTTGTTTATCCTATGGCGTTTGTGTAACTGTCATATTATTTGAACGTCAAAATACAGTTTGCGACGTTCAGTGTTTATCTTCTACAATTTTCACACAATTTCAAAAAATAGATGCAAAAACTTATCTCCTTGATGTGCAGTATTTGAAGAATTGAATTAAGGAAAAACAACTTTGCTTAACTGTAGGTGGTTATACTCTGAAGAAACAAATGCTAGATGATAGAAGATTCCCCAAACTACATATTAATTTGCAGCGGCTCCTGCAGGTGATAGTTTAGTGAGGTTACAGTTACACAAAATTGCTATTGGAAAATGATTCTTTATCTTGTTGAATGGAAAAGTGAACAAGGATTGTGTTGCTGTTTTAATTATATTTGCTCTCGTGTTTATCAAATCAAATTGTATGGACTGAACTTCTTTTTTTTTTGCATTACCTTAATTCTAATTCAGGTTATTGCCCATGGAGAACAAGTGTATCTTCGTGTTAAAGAAAAATCCTCTTCGAAAAGATGGTTTGCGAATGAAGACATTAACTCCCTTGAAGAACTAATTGGAAGGTTGAGAAGGCTAAAGGAGAATGTAGGGTTTATAGTTAATCGTGTCACGGCAATACAGGCTGGTCTTGACAGCTGGCAGTCGGAGCAAATAAACCGTAAACTATACTATCTCTCGTTCCTATCAATAATTTTCCTCCCGCTGTCCATCATAACAGGAGGTTAGAAATCCGGTTCTTCATAATCTTTTATGATTCACATCGTTGTGCAATATTGTATGGTTTTGATTTTTGAACTCTGATTGCAGTTTTTGGCATGAATGTTGGAGGTGTTCCATGGACAGGTCAAAATGCCCCGGAGCTAAAGGATGGTTTCCGCAATGTCATGTTAGTCTGTGTCGCTATGCTTGTTCTTGTACTACTTTGCTTCATTTTCCCGGCTCTTTATATGCGTATAGCTGCTTTTTGGCGAGAGAAGACAACTCTTGGAAGACACTGGTCAATTAACAGGAAGTCATTGCTGAGGAGACCGTTAAGAATAGAAGATGCAGCGAGAGGAGGTTACCTTCGGATTTAATGGTGTTAGAATGTCTGCTTTGCGTCATTCATTTTACTAGTGAGCATTCAAATCATACTGATGCCATTGGTTTCTTCAAATGGCTCTTACTGAAGAAAGTTATAAAATGACCCTTAGTTGTCAAGAAACGAATCACCAGAAGCAATTATGGAATCCTCATGTAGCACATATTCTCTTGCTGATGAAATGAGAGATTGTGATCAAGTCAAGATTTTTGCTTATTCTTTCATTTAATTTCCTTTGGGGAGGAGGGGGTATGTGGGTCTGTCAATATACTTTTTCAAAAAGCAAACTTGTACAGTTTTTCCTGGTTATGAGAAGAGTTTTTGATTTAGTATATATGTATATTATTAGAAAAATGTTAACTAATGTCTTTTTAGTGCACAAATTAAAGAAGCTAGTATGTTCATATATTCTTAAAACTACACCATTATAGCCTTACTAGTGAGGATAGAGAAGGTCAATAAGGTCAGACATATTGTAATTGATTTAGGTTTTGTTGGGGAGTTTAGAGGGGAGGGGGAGGGGAAGGGGAAGGGGGAGCTTTTGAAAATGATTTTTTTTTAAATATAGAAGAATTTTAATTTTAATTTTTGTTTTGTTTAGATTGATAAAATAATGTTTATTATTAATATATTTTTAATTTTTAAAATATTATAACCATAAAAACTATATTTGAACAATTTTTGAAAGTTTTTCAAAACCCTCTTCCAATATAAAATTTGAATTTCACCAAATTAGGAGTTTTGGTGTTATGAATAGAAGGAAACCCTCTAAAACCCTTTCAATTAAAATTCTTATATTCTTTTCACTTAATCCTTCTTATTTTTAAAAGTTCTTCCTACTTTTTCAAACTCCCAAACTAAACCTTAGAAAAAGTTAGAAAATAATACTTTGATACTAAGTTTTTTTTTTTATTACACAAGCAAAAAGGAAAGTAAAGAAGAAAAAAAAGACTATACTAGTTCCCTTATACACACCTAGAGCATATGTTAAAAGAGCAGAAGAAAGATAAGAGAGAGGTTGATGGACAATGACCAAATGATTTAGGCCATTAGCTTCCATTTTTGTTAGAATATTAGCACGTAGATTTTCCTCACGAAGAGTATGACACAGACTAACATTAATAGGAAATGGTGCGAGTATAGAAGAAATATTGTACTTATCATTGACCCAAATATTTATAACTTTAAGTCCCATCTCGGTGTGAGCAATATATGAAACTATAACTTGTAAAGGTAGCATGGCTTGAACCATAGGTTTGTATCACCTTCCCCCACCTTAAAAACAAACTTGTAATACTCCAAATTTTTCCTTTAGATTATTAGGTTCACTTCGCATTTCATCTCATTTTGCATTACATTATAACTAACCGCTAACCAGTTTGTTCAGTCTGTTGGTTTTGCAGGAAAAATCACACTATGCGCAGTTTAATTGGTAAAGGGAAAAATGGTCATTAATTTGCAGCCTGCTGACAATTTATGAAGCTGAGTTATCTTCAGGAATTCCTCAAGTAATTAAGGTTTCCATCTCCAAGTCCTGTGATTTATTTGACTATTAATCGAATTTTACGGCAGTTTTGATGTCAGATTTCTAACAACACAACTCGTGTTATTCCAGAGCAGAGATTTAGTCGTCCGACGGGTTTCAAAAATACTTTTTGAGTAATAAACCATCTAGAGCTGAATGTGCAGAGGTATTAGTGGATTCGGGTTGAACCGGTGCGAGAATTTGCTTTGCGGGATTTATTCTGACAGATACACGTTGTCCTGTTTTCTGCTGGTCAACGGTCGGGTTTTAAAGGAACAGTGGAATTTCGGTGCTCATTGAATTTATAATGAATATCTGTTTGTTTTGGGTCATAACGGTTAGTTGAGCTGATTCAGGTTACCGAGTTAAACTAGTCAAGATGTGTTTTGAATTTTCAATACAAAGGACAGTTCGTTATGCCGTTTAACTGAAATTTCGCTGCTTATTTGTTCAAGACTATATTTACTGACTTTATCATCGGGTACGAATTAATTTGCAAAGGGATTAGTCGAGCTTAGCAGTTACGAAGAATTAAATTGGGCGAGTTGATCAATTTTCAAAATTTGGAGGTTGGAACGTTACAATTTAATCGGACAATTTGCATTGGATAAATTTAATTAACTGAATTTATTTGATGAATTCAATCAGACGAGTTTTAACCAGATGAAGTTAGTCAAAGTGGTTTATTTGGATGAGTTCAACCGGATGAATTTAGTCGGATAAATGAAATCAGATGAATTTATTGGTATGGATGTAATCGGACAAATTTGATTGGACAAGCTTATTCAGTCGGGTTTATTTGGAGAAACTTAATCGATTAAATTTAAGTAAAAAAAGTTAGTCGTTTGAGTTTATTTGGAGTAAGTTAGTCGGGTCAATTTCGTTAAGTGGATTTATTCATTTAAGCTTAAGCGGATGAATTATTCGGTGAATTTAATCTAAAGTCGGATAAATTTAACTAAGTGAATTTGTTCATTTGAGCTTAATCGGGAGAATTATTCGAATGAATTAATTGCGAGAAATTCAAGTTAATAAGAAAGTAGAATTTTATTTATTCCATATTTTTATTATAATATTACAAGAATAATCTCAATTACAAAATAAATTCATAAATGCCTAAAATCTAAAGTTTCTAATTATCCTTCGAGACCGATTTTTCGAGTCCCGACTTTTCACAACCTGCAAAGAAAATCAACAACAGAGCATAATTTTTTAAATGGTTAAAAATGATTTTTTTTTTGTTTCGATACCCTCCGTTAACTATCATCATCGGGTACGTCGGAAGGGTAACGGAATATTCCGCCGCCAGCTCCAGACTCCATTTCCCGACCTCGGTAAATCCGGCAATATCTGTTCAAGAGTTTTTCCGGGAGAGAGAGTAAAAGTGATTTTCGAAAAAAAGTGATTCTGAAAAAAATGCTTTTGGAAAAAGCACTTATTTCCAGAAAAATGATTTTCGTCAAACAAGTCACTAACACATGTCCCAAATTTTTCTGAATGGACCAAATGAGATCCACGCAAGCAAGCCAACATATTCCTGGAAAAGCTCAACCCAACCGTCAAATACGCAAGCCACAAACGCATTTTCCTAAAGTTTCTGAATCAGAGTTTCTGAAATAAGATCCACGCAAGTTCATCCGCAAATCCCTCTATTGGAATAAAATCAAACAAAACCGTGAATCCGCGAACTTCTCAACCATAAAATCATCACAACAAATCGGTCAATTAGGATCACGAAAAAACGCAACAAATTAAATCAAGAACGTAGAGAATCCAGGCCCAAAAGTGTTAAGAAAAATACAAGTGCATCAGTGTTCATCAGGATAAAGAGGAGGAGCAAGCATCAGAAAAAACCCAGAATTTTTAAAGGAAGAACAGGGGGGAAGTTCATCAGCAGATCATCATCGAAGAAAGAACGAAGAACATGGGAGATCCGCGATTTCGAATCGGAAAAAACAGCCGTCACCGTTCATCCTGATATCACGAAAGTTGCGTCCGAAGCCATCCAACTGGACTCAGAGAAGCAAGATCTTCTCATCATCGTCAAGGAGATATTCACCAGACGGAGGCAAAGACGAAAATCATCCAAGCCATCTCGAATCGTAAATCGGAAGCACCACAACCTCGGAATTTTTCGCTCATCACCGGTCGTACCACCGCAAGCAGAGCGTCCTCAAACCCATAAAAGGGTGAGCCACTCTCTTACATGGTTGTTGATTTGTTTCAGGTATCATGCGTAGGGAAGAAATGAATGACTTCGCAGCAAGCACAAGAGGCCATGGTCGCCGCGCCTCAGAGATTGAAGAACGAAAAAGCTCTGAAAAAGCAACAATGGCGCCGCCGCACCAAGGAGAAGAAGAAAGAGTTTCAAAACCCTAAAACAATTTTAGCAACATACACGGACACTCCCCCCTTTTAACTGCTAGTGTTACTTTTTTAATTTTATTTTATTTTTAATAGTTTAGTTGTTTATTAATTTTTGTATAAAAACATCAATTATAGATAAAATTAACTCTAAGTAAAATCTTTTTCCAAATTAAACCACTTTTTTAAAATTAAAACTCTCTTTTAATAAGTTAAAATTAAAACTTTTTTTAATTAAAAACATAAGTTTAAATTAAACTGTTTTCTGTCCTAATTAAACTATTATTTATAGTAAAAATCAATCTTTTTATCAATTAAAACTTTTTTTAAAAAAAATTTATTGTTTACAAACAAAAATTGAAATCAATCCATTTATTAAAATTAAAGTTAGGACCTTTTATTAAAATTACACTAAATCCACTTTTTTTGAAAATTAATCAAAATCTTTTTTAAAAAAACAAAACTTGTATTTAAAAACCATTTTTGTAATAGCTCAAAATTAAACTCATTCTTTTAATATAAAAAATTAGAACCATGCCCATTAATCAAAACCTTTTTTTTAGAAAATTTTTGAATTAGAACCATTTTTATTTTATTCTTCCATTGACTTCAAGTGTTTCTTAAATGCGGCTAACATCTTGATTTCAGCTTGTGAATTAATTTTTGCCCGTTTATTGCCCCGTTAAAGTTGTATAACGCTTGTGTCGTTCTTTCCCTATTTCCCCGTACTTTTCGTCTTTTCATTTTATGGTTGTAATTTACGCGAAGATATCATCGCTTTGCATTTTTTTACCGCTTTCGTACTTTTCTTATATTTCATACTGTCATTTAATTACTTTGCATCATTTACCATAAAACCCTTCTAAAGAAATAGGTCTAGCCGTTTGACCGCCGAGTCAATAGTCCTCTACCTTTGACCATTTCAAAACCCTAATTGCATAGGCGTCCCGCAGTGGACTAAATCACCTTTTACCCTAGCATTAGGATAGGGAGTCGCCGCACTCCGTTTTAGGGTTTCCCGCTGTGGAATACCTCTTCAACCCTAATTTCAATTCAAATTTTCAATGTAGAAATAGGAGTCTCCGGACTCCACGTAAGCGCTTCCA